GTAAAGGAAACATGTGAAACCCCACCCCCAAAGTTTAATGTAATTTCACAATTTCCCTTAAAGTATATGAAATTTACATTTTAATCCTTCATCTAATACCCTATCCGGATCCATTTTTCCAGATTCTCTCTCATTCTCTCATATCTCTGCCTGCCAAGTGGCAAGCCCCCATCCTTTTCCTTTTTTCTCTCTCCTCCCTGAGCTCTCTCTCTCTCTCACTCACTTTCACTCTTTCTCACACACTCACACTCTCTCGGACCCTTTCCCGATCGACACCCATGCACACCCAAGGAGACACCCCGGCGACGGCACCACCATCCTCACCCTCGCGAGGACCTCCCCTTACTCTCCCTCGTCTCTGTGAAGCTCGGTGAAGCCTAGAAACCCAGGAAACCTCTGGCGAACCCCCACCCCCGTGACTCTCGAGCTAAGTCCGGCCACCTCTGGCCATTTTCACGACAGATCTCAGATAACAATCTCTCCATCTCACATCTACCTTAGTTTTGGTACCTAGATCATAGACTAGGGTGGCGTTTTGGTGTTGACCAGAGCACGGGAGGCTCCGGCTTTCTTCCTCTGCGAGAAACGGGTCAACGACCCAAACCCAATGAACCCAGGTCCTTTAAACTATGTAGAACTCGGGCCTTAGGCCCGTTAAACCCAAACCCATTTAATTAATTATTTATTTTATTTATTTCTGAAACCCAAAGACCCTTGCGTCAAGCTTTTAAGCCCAAGCCATTTAAAACCCTTAACCCAATTAACCCTAGGCCGGACCCTTGGACCTCAGGCCTTTGGGCCGTTCAAGATTAGGCTTTCGGCCTAAGGAACCCAAGCCTAGAAACCTTTTAGGCCCAAGCCCAAACCTGATCCAACCCAGAAGCCAGCCGTGCGTGTAGGCGATGCGTGGGTGCTTGCTGGTGCCGGCACGTGGAGTACACGCGCCACCATCCACGGCAACGTTGGCGACTTTTTCGGTGACCCACGACAGCGCGTGGCCATTGGAGACACCACCTTACAGCGGCACGTACGGCGGCATGTGGGGTACCTGAGGTCCCGCTTTATGTTTTTTGACGTTCTGAATCCGTTTATGATGTCCGTTTTATGAAATTCAATCGTTTAAGTATAGTTTTGTTAATTGGACCCTTTATGTGCTTAGGTGCAATTATTAGCGACGATTATGTTCTTTCTATTTCGTACGACTCTTCGACGACGAAGTATCTATGAGTGGACCCCTTCTAAAATGCATGTTTTAATAGTAGAAATGCATACATGAAAAGCATGATTTAATGGTAATGTTTTATAAGTAAATTGAATTTACATTATATGATTATCATGCTTTACTGAGAATATTTTGGAATACCATACTTTATCGAACTATTGTTCTTTGTAGTATATATGATGGATGACTATATACTATTTATGAAAATATTTTTACACTTCTTTATAATATATATGATGGATGACTATATACTATGAAGATGTTTTTGAGTTGGAAAGATTATATTCAACGTTTTGTGCTTATCTAGTGGTCACTATTCTACCTACGGGCGATGATACTTATATTGCCTTCGGGCTAGCGTGTGTAAGGCACTATTATGTGCGTATGGGAGATGATACTTATATTGCCATCGGGCGGGCATGTGTAGGGCATTGTTTTGTGTGTATGGGAGATGATACTTATATTGCCTTCGGGAAGGTGTGTGTAGGGCACTGTTTTGTGCATATGGGTGATACTAATACCACTAGTTAGCACATTATATATAAGATATGTTTTATGAAAGGTTTTATGGCATGCTAGGGGTTTCGGCAAATCTATCACCTATTATACTATTAGTTTTCATAAAACTTTGGGGGTTAGTATGTTGAATAATTGTTTCCGTATTATTTATATATAACTTGGTCCACTCATGTTTGTTTTACACTCCCTCAGGACATAGGAACAAGGCATACGATCCAAACTACGAGGCATTCCCTTACCAGTGATATCATATCATCCTCCCTGCTTTGACATCTATTGTAATAGCACCTTTCTACTTTACTTTCCGCTTATTAGTTGTATGCTTTGAACATGTCATGCATTATCATTATATTCATTATTGGCAGTTGAATACTATTATGGTATTTTGTAAGACTTATATTTGAATATTACCTTGCGTAGTTACGCGCGAAAATTTATATGCATGTTTCACATGTTCTCGGCATATGCATTCATTAAATGGCTTGCATCACCTCGGGTGTCGGCCAACACGTGGCCATCCCGATATCCCTCGGACATTGGGATCAGGGCATGTCAAGAACATAAGAGGAAATAAGAGCACGATTTTTTTTGGGTCAACTAAGAAGAGTTTGAGTTAAGCACACTGTAAAGAACATAGGAAATCTAAATTAAGAAGAAGTAACACCTCATAAGAAGAAAAAGATAGAGGAAAGAAAGAAGAAAATAGAAGAAGCAGCAACATGGGGGTGACAGGTTGAGAAAAAAAATAAGCTAAAACTCACATTGACAAACCATTTCTTTCTCAGACTTGTAAAGGTCAAGAAAAAAAAAAGGAGAAACATTGGGTTATTGGGGTCATGTGAACTCAATGACCACAGTGCAACTCCGTTATGAGGGGTATATCTGTCATTTGACGTTGACAATAACTGCAATTCCTAATTTATGGCTTTTAGCTATATGTCTTGAAGCATTTTTGCACGATTGTTGTGGTCACATCAGTATGTCAAAATGACACACTGCTAAGCATTTAAGGAGACAAGATATTCTCGGGTCTGGTCGTCCGCGTGGCATAGAGTGCTTTAAGGAGAACCCTATACGAGCCCTCAGAACCCTGTCTGAGTCCTCGGACCGATTGGATTGATGTGAGTGTAAACCATTGAAGAAGATAGCTTTACATAAAGGAAGAAGATGAAGAGTCAAAGAACTGAGGTTTTAGAGAGAGTTTAGAGAAATGGAAGAGAATATCAGAAACAATGTATATCTTTCCTTATCTAATACAAAATATCTATTACAAGGTTTATATAGTTTGCAATAGTAGCTTACACTCTAAGCTTCTCTATAACAAACTTAACTAACTATTTAATCTCTTGACACATGTCTAACTCATAGCCTTAGGATCTTAATACTCCTAACACCTTCAAGAAGTAGCTCCATCTGAAAATGCCAACCCAAATAATTGGTTTCATCCAATTTCACATTTACCGAGCTTGAAACTGACGAAATCAAGGACGCAATTGGAAATTGTAGGATCTATAACTGAGCAGCAGTAACCATTGTTGCGAATTAAGAAGAAATCTTCACACATAACTAATCACAAACAGTTGGTGTGCACTCTTTCAAGAACTCGCAACCAGATGACGACGGAAATATGAAGAACCCCAATGAAACAGAAAAGAGCACATAGAGACAAGATTGTATAAGCGGAAGCAGATAAACCAATATCGAAAGAAAAAAATCTCCAAGCTATTGTGCTTGTTCAGGCGAATGATACCATGTAAACCATTGAAGAAGATAGCTTTACAGAAAGGAAGAATATGAAGAGTCAAAGAACTGAGGTTTTAGAGAGAGTTTAGAGAAATAGAAGAGAACATCAGAAACAATGTATATCTTTCCTTATCTAATACAAAATATCTGTTACAAGGTTTATATAGTTTGCAATAGTAGCTTACACTCTAAGCTTCTCTATAACAAACTTAACTAACTATTTAATCTTTTGACACATGTCTAACTCATAGCCATAGGATCTTAATACTCCTAACAGTGAGATGGTCATCCGAGTCCTAGAATGGGATTCTATATTGAACTTCGAACTTGATGAGTCGGAGTCGCATGATTTGGTATAACTAAATATAAATTGACCCCATAACAGACTTTATTTTTATTTATGTTCTAAAACATAATGCATTCTATTCAAGGAATAGTAAAGTATGATAATTAAACTTAAAAAGGTTCAGAAACATCATTGGTGTGTGTATGAAATGTAAGGGATGAATGCATCATCATTTTTTTTTCTTGGGAAAAAAGAAAGAAAAAGAAGATGGTTTTGTTTTAAAGTTATACTCCTCTAACAATATGATATTAGTGATATTTTTCTTAATTTGTAAGTGAATGATCTCATGTTCGCTTTGTATGAATCACTAGGACATTTTAATTATTGTGTTGAGTTTAAAACCAAATTATAGTTAGATCATTGTATAACTTAAGCTCAAGTCTTCTCCAGAAGTACGAATATTGTGTAAAAAAAGTTACTCATCTAAGCTTTCATACATTGGAGTGCAAAGTTATTTTGAAGTGTAGCGGGTCTTTTTGTTTATGTGGTTGGAGGAAGACTTTCTCCCATAGATGCGGTTATGTATTGTTGGAATAGTTTCTGTAACATGTGGATTGTATGATTATGAATATGATGCGGTCATGTACAATTATCCTTCGGACTTCATTCGTCTAACATTTGTGTACAAATAGGCATAGGCATATAAGTTCCGTGGATATAATGAGGCTTAGCCTAACACTTGTTTGATAAAGTTGTGCACACTACTTATAAGACAAACCCAAACACATAAGAGATAACACAATGCTCAAGATTGTCTAAAAACTAAAGGGTGATGCTATCACCACACAATTTTTTTTACCTCTCACACACATCTTGTTAATTTCTGTTCTTTGATCATTTTTAATTCTTTTTATTAGACAGTCAAAAATTAAAAAAAAATGTATGAAAAGTAAAAAAATGGTGTGTGGAAAACACCAGAGACTAACCCCTTGAAATGATTACTGTCATTCTAGCAGTAGTCTTGGGCCTAGCAAGCCCATTTCTATTTTCTCCTATGAAATTCAAAGCACATTTTGGTGGCCCACTATACATGAAATTCTAAATCCTTTTTAGGGTCCATTTTGACAAGTATATTCTGAAACTCTACATTGAAAATACTCTTGGGACAAGAAAGTTTCCCCTTATTCTTCGAGTTTAAGGGTATATGGTTTGCACCTTGTGACCTTTCATTGACAAATTAATCTCGCTTAATCCTTTATTATTAAGGAAAAAAAAAAAACACTTGATACTTATCATTAGTATGATAAAAACTAATCACAAGTTCCCAACTCATCTAGATGGGAACACAGGGATGCTTTGTTCATTCCTAAAGAAGTTAGCAGGATCAACTAAGGTCTTCACATGAACAAGTCTCCTAAAATTATTCTTGAAATACTTTAAGCCCCAAATGCTTGCTTGTCCATAGCTTGTATTACAAGCATTGTTCCTCCCCAAGTCAAGATCCCTATAATTCAAATAGGCACCTCTTGGGGACTTTGAAACATATGGTGCCATGTAATCATACAGCCTTCTCATCATGCCAATATATTTCTCAGTTTCCTTGCCATCATCCCAAGTGACCATATACTGGATTTTGAATATGTTGCCAATTCTGTGTGGGAAAGGAGTTTCCGAATCTGAAATCTCACTCATTTTTCCACCATAAGGTGTCAATATCAAATAAGCTTCTGCTTCAATCAGTGTTTGCCATAAACCTTCCAAGCCAGCTTCCGAAATTGGTTCAGTCACATAGTCTGATTTTGCTTTGAAGAAGCTCTTAGATTGTTGAGTTCTCCTGAGCAAAGCTTCCGACTCGTTTATTGAGATGTAGGCGAAGTATAGAACAGACTCAATCCAGCTCATTTCAGTGCAGTTGCTCCGGTCTAAACGTAACTCCGGAAAATTGTCTTGCATCAGAGGGAGAAGTTTCTCGACTGGCCCAAGAAACAACGAACCGAATTCAATTATAATAGTTTTGCCACCATTTGCGCCAGCTTCATTTCCAACACCTACGACTGAATGTAGGAAAATGTCTTCATGAAGTGTATCTGCAATGTTTTGCCATTTCGAAAATAGTTTGGTTGCGCCTTGTTCTATGGTCTGTGAAATTTTGAAAACTGTCACAGATGGAGGAACACGAACCAACCTAAGTTTCCATTCTAGAATAACTCCAAAGCTTGAGCCTCCCCCTCCTCGAATAGCCCAAAAGAGTTCTTCTCCCATGGATTTTCGGTCGAGAATCCTGCCATTAACGTCAACAATCTTAGCATCAATAACATTGTCAGCTGCTAGACCATATTTTCGGAGTATAGTACCAAATCCACCTCCGCTAATATGTCCCCCTACACCGATAGTTGGGCATGTCCCTGCTGGAAATCCATGAACTTTACTCTTTTGTGAAATTGTGTAGTACAACTCTCCGAGAGTAGCACCTGACTCAACCCGAGCACTCTCATTCTCTATGTCAACATCGATAGATCGAAGATTGAAAAGATCAATGATGATGAAAGGAGTTTTGGATACATAGGATAGGCCCTCGTAGTCATGGCCCCCGCTTCGGGTTCTTATTTGTATGCCGTCTTTCTTGGCACATACCACGGCTGCCTGAACATGAGAGTATTGAGAAGGAGTAATGATAGCTTGTGGTTTCGGTGTTGATGTGTTCAAGAATCGGAGATTCTGTATGGAAGATTTTAAGACCAAGGAATAGTCCGTAGTGCTTTCCGTGAGGATGATTTTGCTTGTTGAGGTAGAATTTATGCTGGATGAAAAGCATGTGACAAAGCTTTCCGAAATCGAGTTCGAATTTGTAGAACAAACTGAGTTTAGAAGGAAGAAAAGTGGTAGGGGAAGTAGTTTTATGTGTGGGATCTCCATCTTTATTTGTTCTATAAATGTGAAATGGTATGAGCTCTGAGCTCACTTATATAGGTAATATGAGTTGGAAGAGTTGAAAAGATATACAGTTAGACTTCTCACAAACGTTTGCCTAACAGAAGAATCTTTTCATAAACGTTTGCCTAATAAAAGAGACATTTTCAATGCGAATTTTTTCATTTATGTGATAGTGGAATAATTACAACAACCAAGCTTTATTCTACTAAGTAGGATCGGCCGTACGAATCCTAAACACTACTGTACTCGTTTTTCGTCAAGTCTTCCGTTAGCTCCAAGTGTTCTATATCTTTTCTAAGGAAGCCACTCAAGTGCTCTATATCTTTGTCTGCCATGATACTGAAATATTGGTAAATATTGCGACCAACATTGAGCATACACATTCAAATATCTGCCACTTCAGATGGGTTAATATTTGTACCACTTTCCATTCCTCTAACTGGTCAGTGCTTTACCAATATTATTACAGATGTACAGTGATATAGTGTTAAGGCACGCCATGTTTGAAGGAAATTTGGTAATGTTGACTAATTAAATTAGATCATTAGGTGAATTGTGAGTATGGACAATAGCTAGTTTCTAAATTTTCCCTAACTTTTTTTTTTCCAATTCTTAGAGCAACCCATTCCTAATTAGTTGTTTTTGCTATGTTCTCATATAACCATCAAATAATGCATTAAATCGTCTGGTTTGTACTTAATTTTTGTGCTAACATTGTGTTTTTAACTCGTTTGCAAATCACAGTTTGATAATAAAAGTTCATAAACACATATAAAATTCTTATTTTATTTACAAAGAGGAATTACTAGTTACATATATCAGCATAGAATCTGGACACTAGTAAAGGGTTTAAAGAGCCAAAGCACTCTAATAAACATTAATTTTCTTAATTAGTTTGTCCAAGTCCATTCAGAATGTAAAGAAGGAACCCCCATGTAATAATCTTTATTAAGTTTTGAATTAGTTTTATTAGTTCGACTAGGTGTGTGTGTGTATATATATATATATGCTATAAAATATTGGCCACTGGATTTAACTGAAGACATCTTTAGACATGCAACTACCAAATCTATTGTTTAGAGGCAAGATTCGTGGGTTTGCTAGGATCCAGGAGATGCCATGACAAAAGTGTTTTAACACTTTAATTAAAGACAGATAAGTACGTAGTAGAGAAACTAATGATATAGTTGATTGATATAATTTCTTGCTAAAAACGGTCCACAGTGTTCCTAAAGTTCAGTTCCTTTTTATTAATTTGGTGATGAGACACTCTCATCAATTAATCACTTTGATCATATTGGTGTCAAAACTTAGATAGAATCTGAACTGGATTGAACACGTATTTACTGTGAGTTGTTTTCGGTCTCAGTATCATAGAATGACTCGAAAGAAAAAAGAAAATAAGCGTGCCACTATTGGAGGTTGTCAACATACAAAGATTGTGTTTGAGTGTGTGTAAGGGTTGCGTGTCAAAGTGACTTTTTAACCAAAAGATTTTGCACCGAGTGAGACACTGATTCAATTAAGTTTTTTCGTGTCTCAAGCAAATGAGGACTTAAAATTTAATGTGAATTTACACGTATTTGCCTAAAAAAGTAAGTGAATGGGAAATAGAAACTAAAACGAGAATCTGAATGTCATCATTTCATGATGAAGTTGAGATTACGAATGCTTACAAAAGTAAAATCTAGACCGATGAGCCGAGCTACATGACTTGAAAGTAAATAGACGGAAAATATAAAGAAAGGAGTAACTCTAAAAATATTCAGAGCATAATAAGCGAGAAAATGCTAAAAATAAGTTCACCGAGATCGCTGGTATCGGCCTATACTAGGTGAGGAACATCTATCTTAGTCCACTTGGCTTGAATAAAGCTTTGGTTTGAGGAAAGTTGAGTCAGCTTTCCATCATTCCAAAGAATAAGGATAGTAAAGTATGATAATTAAACCTAAAAAGGTTTAGAAACATCATCGGTGTGCGTACGCAATGCAGGGATGCATACATCATCATTTTTCTTATGAAAAATAAAAGAAGAGAAGAAGAAGATATTGGTTTAAAGTTATACTTCTTTTAACATATAATATAGTGATTTTTTTTTTTAATTTGTAAGTAAAATGTTTTATATTCGTTTTGCATGAATTACGAGAGCACTTAAATTGTTAGAGTTCAAAACTTAATTATGAATAGATCATGGTATATATGACTTAGAAGTAGAATATAGTGTAAAAAAAGGTTAGACTCATCTAAAGCTTTCATACAAAGGATTTTGAAGTCGCGTAACTCTTTGAAGATGTAGCGGTCTCTTTTTTTTTTCTGTGGTTGGAGGAAGACTTTCTCTCATAGATGCGGTTATGTGATCACTCATATATTTCATGTATTTATACCATCTATTTTTAAAATCTTTGTAATGTTTTTGTGTTAAAATTGTGGTATTTTATTTTACCTTGTATTAATGTGCATTTAAATTTATTTTAGGATCAATTTCAAGTAAAATGGAGAAAAGGAAATTGTAAAAATAAATAAAAGACAAGGCAAGTGGAGAGTGGACTTGTCTTTCATTAAGCTTTTGTGGGGAAAAAGAAAAGCATATAACTGATTAGTGGAAATGGGGGACACGGACAAAGAAGAGTGGAAGGAATAAGAAAAGGAAAGCAAGAATAATAAGCAAGGAGTTGGGGGGGGGGGGGGACGGACTGACAGAAAATAATAGACAGAGAGGAGTGCATACGGCAGAACAGAAAAAGAATAGGCAGAGAGAAAGCAAGGCAGTGCACAGTGGAGAGACTGACAGAAGGAGAGGGCAGCAGGCAGAGGAAAAGAAGTCAGGAGCAGAGGAGGAACCAAAAATGGGTGTTTTCTTTCTTTGATTCTTCATGGATAATTTTTTATGTATTTAACATAATTATGTGTAATTAATTTCTTTTTGCTAGAGTGAGGCCATGAGCCGTAACATGAATACGTAGATTTATTTTTCAATTGCTTAAGTGTTGTTACATGCTTGCTTTGATATTTTCAATCATTGAATTAAACTATCTATGTACCTTGATGCTTGATCACCATTAGAATGCTTATAAAAGTTATCGGATGCAATTTTGAACGAATGTCACGTTAAAATTGGTTGTGCTTCTTGTGATTGAGGATTGTACTCTCCTAAGGTAAATATCATGCTCTTAGGGATTACATGGTTTAACAAAAGGATTTTCACCAAGATTAATGAATCACTCATGTTTATATTTAATTCAAATGTCATGGATAAGTTGCATGTAGTGGTATGCGTTTTAGCTTGAATGTCACAAGTAAACATACACAAGGAAAATCCAACCTTCAAAGTATGTGTGTTTTCAATTATTTAAGCAATTGGAATAGCTACGTAGGAGTGTTGTTGGTAAAGGTTGAACTCTAGCATATTGTCAATCTATTTTTCTTCAATCATTTATTTTATCTTGAATTTCCTTATTTACTTGTTTTGTTTAAATTGAATCATTATTCCTATAAACCAATTCCCATTTTAGATATTTGTTTAAGCCACATCCATATTTAGTTTCGTCAAATTAGTGTAATTCTTAGAGTTAAATAAGTTAAATACACAAAAACTCGTAAATTGTTTATATCAGTCCCTGAGGAGATCGACCTTACTTATCAGTCCCTGAGGAGATCGACCTTACTTGAGCCATTCTATACTACAAACACTTGTTCTCTTGCAAGAATTTTCTATGGTTTAACCCTTTGTTTTACAAGTAGTAAAATCGCTATCATTATGCATTGTTGGGAATGTTTCTGTAACATGTGGATTATATGATGGCACATGTATGATTGGTTTTCAAACTTTATTCGCTTCACATTCGTGTACAAATAGGCATGTGTGCATAAGTTCCCTGAATATAATGAAGAGAGTTTTAACGAAACACTCCCGGTACTGTTCATTTTAACAAAAAAATGACAATTTTACTCTAAAAAGTCACTTCTGATACTATTCACTTACAACATATTTTTGTCATTTTGATTAAAACTCAAAGTTTTCAAGTTATTTTCATTAGTTTTCCTTATAATGAAGCTTAGCCTAACATTTGTTGTTTGTCATGTTGGAAAATAATAAGTTTAGGATTTGGATCGAGCCCGTTTGAATTGGCTTTTATTAGAAATTAGAATTTAGTTTATTATAAATATGATGCTTATTATTTACTAACTCAGTTAAAATGTAGCTTTCAATTTGTAGTTGTCTTGTCAATCTCGTTTATTTGTTTTCCATTAATAAAATAATGTCATAGTTATATTTCGTTTGTTCTTCCGTTTGTTTATTTTTAACTTGATATCAGAGCAGGTTTGATCATTCGGAGTTTAATCTGCTTCTATTTTGTTTGTATTAGTTTGTCTATCTATGCTGTTTGTTTCGTCTAGTTTCGTTTTGTAAGGTTTGATCCTTAGGAGTTTAACTTGCTTGTGTATCGTTTGCATTTCCCAACAAGTAGGACAATTTACAGCCAGTGATAAACGCACCCGGCTTAAACCCATAGATATAAACAGTAAATTTATATGTTAACAAAGATCCATACTTTATAGATTACATTAAAAGTTTAAAAATCTGTTTTGTTTGTATTAGTTTGTCTATCTCCCTTGTTTGTTTCGTCTAGTTTCGTTTTGTAAGGTTTGATCCTTCGGAGTTTAATCTGCTTTTGTATTGTTTGTCTATCTCCTTTGTTTGTTTTGTCTAGTTTTGTTCCTTAAAAACTTTTTTGTTTTCTAGTTTGGGTTACACTTTGTGGTCGTTTTAAAAATATTAAAAAATGAATATGTTGAAGTCTGGAGCCGGAGTTGTGCCCAGCCGCTGGAGCCACCATTCCACTGCTGAACCTCTGTCTCGCATCGCCATCACACTAGAGCTTCGATCTCACTGTCTGCCTGATTTGGACCCGCTAGCCCGACCCGCAGCCTGAAGAACTCAAATCTGACGAGCACAATTCCGTTTGCTACCTGCTGTCTGATCGAACTAGCGTGACTCCTCTGCTTGAACCGTTGTTGTCATCAAGTTGGAGACCACCACCACTGCTGCTTGCCGTTGTACCTGATGAGGGAGTTGTGAATGATTTAGTGAGGAAGCTCTCAAGTTGGTGATTTGCGATTAAACAAGATTGGTACATTGAAAAATAATGTGTTTTAAGCCTTGACCGTATTCAGAATGTTGGGACAAAAGGAAAAAATTATTGACTGTTTGTTAGGCCTTTTGAGGCCCACACGGATAAGTTTTGCTAGAGTTTGCTTGCCTGTCAGTCTAATGCTTAGACTTGTGACCACTCAAGTGATAGTTTTTGTTTTTGTGTGTTTGTTGCTGCAGTTGGGATATGAGAATTCTCGTCCATCGAGTCCAATACTCTTAACATATGTCTACTGGAATGTGAATATGCCTATTTGAATCTACCTGTTAGCATAACGGAGCCTCCTATCTGTCTGTCTGCGTAGTAGAGCTTGGCTGTCTATCAGACTAATGGAGCTTGCATCCACATCTACTTGTTGGCAAACTCATTTGTTTACTGCCATGAGTTTGATCGGGGTGTAGGAAAATAATAAGTTTAGGATTTGGGCTCAGCCGTTAGGATTAGGTTTTGTTAGAGATTAGGTTTGATTTATTATAAATATGATACTTGTTATTCACTTTAGAACACATGATGTAGCCCTCAGTTTGTACTCATCTTGGTAATCTCGTTTATTTGTTTTCTGTTAATAAAATAATGTTCATAGTTATATTTCGTTTGTTTGTCCGTTCTTTTATTTTCAATTCAAAGGTGTGTACACTACTTTTAAGACAAACTCCAAACACACAAGAGATAATAAGATGCTCATGATTGTCTAAAAATTAAAAGGTAATGTTATCCACACACCCTTTTTACCTCCTACACACATCCTGTTAATTTTTATCCTTTGACCTTCTTTACTTCTTTTCATAAGACGATTAAAAATTGAAAAAAGAAGTGTGAATAGCATCCCAAAGTAACATTTAGAGAAGTAGAAACTAAACCCCTAAAAAAAAAATTTCTATATAATTCTAGCCATAGTTTTGGGCCTAGCAAGACCATTCCTATTTTCTCCTATGAAACTCAAAGCACAATTGGTGGCCCACTAAACATGGTTACCTAAGTCTTTTTCAGGATTCATTGTGACAAACAACAGTATAATTCTAAACTCTGCATTGAAGCCTTGGAAACGTTCTTGGGACAAGAAAGTTTCCCTCCTTCAAGTTTGAAGGTGGATGGTTTGCATCTTGTGACCTTTGACTGAGAAATTAATCTCACTTAATCCTTTATCATTTAAAATGACCAAAAAGAAATATGACACTTTTCATTAGTATGATTGACTGGAAAACTAATTCCAAGTTTTCAACTCATCATGTTGGAAGTCAAAAGCAAAATGAATGAGAATAAGAATAAATGACAATGGTTGAAATTGTTGTACGCAAGCTGCCTTGTTTTCCAACAAGCAGCAGCCAATATGACTTTTAGCATGGACAACAATCAATGCTATGTTTAGAAAGTCTTGTAAAATCTTTATAAGACAGATTTCTATGTACGTTTGAAGTAATTTCCATTCCATCAATAAGAGTTAAAAACTTTTACAGAGTATTTTTTCCCAAGAGGTGTGATAAAGTTTGTAAACCTACCATCCACATATTTTGGTATTGAGTAAGTAAATTTTCAATACCAACAATCTATTTCTTCCTAGATGGGAACAAAGGGATGCTTTGTTCATCCATGAAGAAGTTACCAGGATCAACTAAGGTCTTCACATGAACAAGTCTCCTAAAATTATTCTTGAAATACTTCAAGCCCCAAATGCTTGCTTGTCCATAGCTTGTATTACAAGCATTGTTCCTCCCCAAGTCAAGATCCCTATAATTCAAATAGGCACCTCTTGGGGACTTTGAAACATATGGTTCCATGTAGTCATACAGCCTTCTCATCCCGCCAACATGTTTCTCAGTTTCCTTGCCATCATCCCAAGTGACCATATACTGGATTCCGAATATGTTGCCGATTCTGTGTGGGAAAGGAGTTTCCGAATCTGAAATCTCACTCATCTTTCCACCATAAGGTGTCAATATCAAATAAGCTTCTACTTCAATCAGTGTTTGCCATAAACCTTCCAAGCCAGCTTCCGAAATTGGTTCAGTCACATAGTCTGATTTTGCTTTGAAGAAGCTCTTAGATTGTTGTGTTCTCCTGAGCAAAGCTTCCGACTCGTTTATTGAGATGTCGGCGAAATATAGAACAGACTCAATCCAGCTCATTTCAGTGCAGTTGCTGCGGTCTAAACGCAACTCCGGAAAATTGTCTTGCATCAGAGGGAGAAGTTTCTCGACTGGCCCAAGAAACAAGGAACCAAATTCAATTATAATAGTTTTGCCACCATTTGCGCCAGCTTTATTTCCAACACTTACGACTGAATGTAGGAAAATGTCTTCATGAAGTTTATCTGCAATGTTTTGCCATTTCGAAAATAGTTTGGTTGCGCCTTGTTCTATGGTCTGTGAAAGTTTGAAAACTGTCACAGATGGAGGAACAGGAACCAACCTAAGTTTCCATTTCAAAATGACTGCAAAGCTTGAGCCTCCCCCACCTCGAATAGCCCAAAAGAGTTCTTCTCCCATGGATTTTCTGTCCAGAATCCTGCCATTAACGTCAACAATCTTAGCGTCAATAACATTGTCAGCTGCTAGACCATATTTTCGGAATATAGTGCCAAATCCACCTCCGCTAATATGTCCCCCCACACCCATAGTTGGACATGACCCTGCTGGAAATCCATGAATTTTACTCTTTTGTGCGATTGTGTAGTACAACTCTCCGAGAGTAGCACCTGACTCAACCCAAGCACTCTCATTCTCTATGTCAACATCGACAGACCGAAGATTGAAAAGATCAATGATGATGAAAGGAGCTTCGGATACATAAGATAGGCCCTCGTAGTCATGGCCCCCGCTTCGGGTTCTTATTTGTATGCCGTCTTTCTTGGCGCATACCACAGCTGCCTGAACATGAGAGTATTGAGAAGGAGTAATAATAGCATGTGGTTTCGGTGTTGATGTGTTCAAGAATCGGAGATTCTGTATGGAGGATTGCAAGACTAAGGAATAATCCGAGGTGCTTTCGGTGAGGATGATTTTGCTTGTTGAGTTAGAATGTATGCGGGATGAAAAGCACGGGACAAAGCTTTCCGAAATCGGGTTCGAAGTTGTAGAACAAACTGAATTTAGAAGGAAGAAAAGTAGTAGGGGAAGTAGTTTTATGTGGGAGATCTCCATCTTTATTTGTTCTACGTATGTGAAATGGTATGAGCTCTAAGCTCGCTTATATAGGTAAGATGAGTTGGAAGAATTGGAAAGATATATGCGTAGACTTTTCACAATCGATTGACTAACAAAAGAGCCCTTTCACAAACGTTTGCCAAACAAGAGACTTTTCATACAAATAACTATCTGTACATGAATCTAATACAAAAATTTAATACGTTTTCAATTTGAATTTTTGATCTATGTGACAATGGAATAGTTACAACAACTACGAAGATTTGTCGAATTAAGTGGGGTTGGCTGTATGAATTTTAAAATGCTATTACGCTGGGTTTTTACACCAAGTCTTCCGTTAGCTCCAAGTACTCCATATTGTTTATGATAGTCGTCATAAACGATATGGAGTACTTCAGAAAATGGTTTCCACCTCCAGCTTAAAACGACTTCGTTTTGGACATGAGTACTGTAGTAGCATAGAAATCATGATTCATGGTCCTATCTCCAAAATCTATTTTCAACCACACCCTAAACAACATTTCTTCGTTTCTATTTCTTTCTAGCTACAAGCTAGAAAGCCGAACATGCTATATGCATGCATGAGCCATTACCTGAATGTCTTCTTACTGAAACTAGGGTTGTTTTTATCTCCCTACAATGCCTTCTTATTCGAGTGATGCTTCTTGTTTATCTTTGTTCCGTTTTACTCCATTTCACGCTATAACGAGTGTCAAACAAAATATAAGTTAAAAGAGGAAGCACGATCGACTTAGTACGTACAAATGCTAAGAACTTACGAAGAATTAAAAATATTTACATACAATGGATCGTAGTCTTGGCTAGGAAAGCATTCCCTCTTACCAACCTGCAATAAGCAGGTATACCAGTAAACTGAGTAGCTTCCCCGTTGGTATGTTGGAATTTGATCCGCTTTTCACATCTGTATGTGAACCTGCAATCAGCAACCAAAGTCAGTGCCATTGGGGAGCTCGGGGTTAGGGCAACAAAATGTATGGGAAGATTATAGTTTGAGTATCTGATCATCCAATCAAACAAGTTATGTTCACATCTTGTATGGGAATGTTATAGGGCATGGAAAAGCAAGGTGTTAGCAAAAAATGTGCACTGCAACAAACTGTATGTGGATTCTTTGAGCTTAATTATTACATCAACTGCTAATTGGCTGCGGACTTTCATCGAACAGGTTGAGTGCACCCAATAGAGAATGAATTCACAAATTATAGATAGGATGGAATTACCCTACTGTTTGACAAAACATCCATAATCCTAACAGTAAATCAGCAACAGTTCTTATTATTCAAACACACACACTTGTTTTATATTTTTCACTCTACTTTTTGTGCTCCTGAAATTGAAGGCAACTCAACACAACAATAACAGTAAACACATGTATGTGGTGATATCCCCAAAAAGAGAGGACCAAAATCCAAAAGGGTCATCTCCTACACTTCACAACGTTTATCTTAGCAGGTATATAACTTAATAACAAATTAATATTGTAATTAATTTGAGATACCGTCACAATAGCATATTAACTGCAGGTAAATCTATTTATTTATAAGTGCACAAGACTAAGAAAACGAAAAATTCTTCGTTGTCAGTACTCGCATATTTTTTGTGTCTATACCTCTTGTCAAATAACTTTATGTAGACACATCACATGATGATTCTATGAGAAAACAACTCAGTCGCAAGGGACCTTCAATGATTGTACTCCATCTAATAATCCACACCCTTCAAATCTAACCGTGTCACAAGATTCAGCCACAAAATCAAGACCAACCCACCAACAGAAGCTTCTGTGCAATTGCAGTTTTCAATGACAGCTATTTTAACGCAACTTGACTTGACTTAAATGAATTTGTGAAAGGAACCTATACTGTGACTTTTTACAATCTTAGACTATGGGAAAGGTTTTCCACAAAATATGAGGTGAAGAATCTGCATCTGGATGGTTTAGTCCAATTAGTCATATTGTTCAAATAAAATAAAATAAAAGACTCGTCGTAAGCATAGTTATTTAGAATTTGCACACTTTAATTTTCTCATTATGCACATTTCTTATGCGGAAAAAGAAAAAGTGCAAAAATCAATTCCCGTTACTTCCGTTTTAATTTTTGTTTTTTGCAATGATTGAACTAGTCCTCTCTGAGACAAACTAATCAGATGAAAATGACATTCACGGCAAGCATACCCCATTACACGAGGTAGAGAGAAATTGTCAAGTCAGCCTTCAATAAAAATGACATTGTCTCAACTTTCTTATACATCTCACGATCTCTCATAAATCCAAAACCAAATATTAAATCTGGAGCTGGATAAAAGTAAAAACACATTGTATATATTCACTGTGAGAAGAACTGAATCAAAATAACCCAATAATTGTAACCATTTCATATCTTTTTTTAACTTATTACTACGAATCTATGACCAATCAATAACCAAAAATCCATGCTTTTGTATCAACTTCCTAAGTTCTCTTATTCCTTACTTGGAAGAATTGGGATGCTTTGCTCGTTGTAGAAGAAATTTTCGGGGTCGACGGCGGTCTTCACCTTCACCAACCTATCAAAATTGTCATTGAAATACTTCACCCCGTATACCTTTCCTTCTTCATAAGTAGGAGCCCCATTTGAACTAGCACCAATGTCAAGGTCCCTATAGTTCAAAAAAGCACTTCTTGGATTCTTTGACACAAATGGGGTCATGTAACTGAAAAGCCTTTTGCTTTCTGTGGTGTAGTTCTTCTCTAAGTCCTCCCCTGCATCCTCCCAGTTCACAGAGTACTGAATTTTGAACAAGTTTCCGGCACGGTGGGGAAAAGGCGTCTCGGATGGCGCAATCCGGCTCATTTCCCCGCCGTACGGATTGAAAACAAGTCCTGTTTTCCCTAGCTCGATCATTTTCTTCCATAGCCACTCCAACCCGTCTTTTGAAATCGGGGTTTGGACATAATCAGACTTCCTCTTCAAGAAATTTGCATCGTTTGGCATTCTGTCAAGCAACGCTTCGGGAGAGGTTCCAATGTCGAAGTTCGCCCACCAGAGGACGGATTCAATCCAGCTCGTCTCAGTACAATTCTCCTTCGTTAACCCCAATTCAGGAAACTCCTTTCCCAACAATGTCACAAGTTGATCGCCATTGCCTAGAAACTCAGCCATAACTGTAGCTCTAACAGTCTTTTCACCCTTCTTCACTTTAGAACTCACAGGCTGCAACAACAGCCTCATGAACAACCCATCATCCGTAGTCGGCGCCACCTCCTGCCACCGCAAAACTAGGGCGGTTGCATCCTCCTCCAACGTTTTCTCAACCCGAAAAATTGTAACAACTTCCGGGACAGAAACCAACTTCAACTTGTACGAAATAATGACTCCAAAGCTTCCACCACCTCCTCCTTTAATAGCCCAAAACAAGTCTTCCCCCATCGATTTTCGATCGAGAAGTTCCCCGTTCGCATTGACAATCTGAGCATCAAGGACATTGTCGACAGCAAGGCCATACTTCCTAAGCAAGTTACCATACCCGCCGCCACTTATGTGTCCACCAACACCAACCAGTTGGCAAATCCCCGCCGGAAAGGCGTGAACTTTGCTCTTCTCCCAAATCCTATAGTACAATTCTCCGAGCGTGGCGCCGGCCTGAGCCCAAACGGAGTTGTCCTCAATGTTCACCGCGATCGACCTGAGATTAAACATGTCAAGAACAATAAATGTCTGGCTAGACCAGTACGAAATACCCTCGTAATCGTGGCCGCCGCTTCGGATTTTGAGCTGTACGCCGGCGAGCTTGGCGCAAAGGACGGAGGCCTGGACATGGGATTCGGTTAAGGGTGTGACGACGAGGAGTGGTTTTGGGGTGGAGGTTCTGTTGAACCTGGAGTTTCTGATGTAGGCTTGTAAAATTGGTGTGTATGAAGGGTTGTTCTGGGCATAGACTATGCTGGACAACTGGGTTGTGTTTGATGACTTCGTTTTGGTATTTAGGCATTGGAGAAAGCTGTCGTACACAGAATCCGAATCTGCCCATGAAGCAGAAGCTTGAAGAAAGAGAAGAGAAACAAGAACCCGAAGAATCTTAGACATGGCGTCTCTCATTGGTTTTGTTAAATTTGTTGAATGTTTGTAAGGGATCGGTCCTCTTATATACAGACACAGAGGCACCAACAGTGGGAACGGTATTTGCACTGATTCACTCTGACCATTCATGGCGGTTACCATTTTATTTGTTATTTGGAAGCGAGATTAAAACATTAGAAACAATTTAAAGTATTATATTAAATTTATCCGAATTACGGTAAATGAAATTCGAACTTGATTGGATAGCACAATAGTTTAGCTAATTTAGTTATATAAAAAAGTGGTTTCACACACTATATTTAGCATCTCATACGCGTTTTTATTTTTGTTATCGAACGAGAAACTAAAAAAAAATTAACATACTAAATTAAACAAATATATGTACAAAATAAAAACGTGTATCGTTTTCTATTCGGATTATGCATTAATGAGTAGGATCACATTTGATTTTTATTTTTTTTTGGAATTACCATGGATTTAAAATTAATAGAAAATTGAGCTTCTTTCTTTAATTTAATGGAAACTTTTAGGAAAGTAATCTGGTTTGCCGCTTGGGCAAACCGGCACCAATCAGTCATTGCACATCTCAAGCATCTTACTTTTCCTAAAACTCCGGCGGGATTAATCACGACTGTGATATTTTTGTGATGTGAGGTCCAAATACACTGAAATTGTGTACATTTTGACTGTAAATAGTCATAATTTGACATGATATTATTGACTTTCGTTTCTTTTAAAAAATTTAGGTTTAATTGGAAAAATCAAACTAAATCCAAATTGACTCCTACAAAACACATAATTCACAGAAAAAGAATCGTACTTGAACCTTCCTGTTAAAGTCAATAATATTGTTTTAAAGAACTTTTAGAAATTTTGTTTGAAAGTTCCCTTTTTATGAAAGTATTGTTGTATATCAATGGATGCCCACTCAACAAAAGAGATCCACACTCAACAGCTGTCCACTAAACAAGCAAAGATGTCCTCCCACTACGAGTGGCCGATACTTGTTTTCATTACCCTTTTATTTTATATAAATACAAGACATATGGAATGAAGAAAGTGTGAACGTCAACTCAAGCCACACGACTGAGAAGAGAGAAAAGAAGGAAGGAAGAAGAGAGGAAGAAATGAGAAGCCACAAGGCTCACGGCAGAGAGAAATGATAGTTATCTTTGTAATCTTATTAATTCAGATTATAAATGAAAGCACTAATGCTGTCCCGATGACGTACTCCAGTCACACTGACTGTAGAGGAACCTCGTAAATTTTGTGTTTTGTTTATTTATTTCACTGCACACACCGTCAATTTTACAA